GATCCATTAACGCCCACTGTAATTAATCCAGCTATAATTATAGTTTTGTAGGAGTAGATAGGTTCACACGTCTCCGCGATCTTTTTAACAAGAGTAGAAGTTTATCCCTTGTTTCTGGTAACATTATTACCTTGATTGCGGTGCTGCCTCTTACTCTCTACATTGAGTGGCTCTTGGGACTTATACAACAGGATGTATATTATTGTAAAAAACATCGACTACGTCATGGAATATTTGATACCTCATTAACTTTAAAATAAATGAATAAACGGAGAAAAATAACAATAATAATTCTTTTTATTTAAGGCTAGAACTTCCGTTTCCCTGTGCCTTCTCGATAAAATTCGTTTTAGTGTTATGCTTTGCTATTCTTTTACAATTTCTATTTCTCCTCCTATACTAGATGTATTTGTCCGAATAGTAATAATAATAATAATAATAGTAAACAAAATGATTGACGTAACTCTTCCAATATTTTTAAACAGCTCGATTAAACAAAAGAAAAAGAAAAAAAAAGATAATGTTTAACAATGTTTAACAATATTTCGACAGCACATCTGTCTTCTTCAGGTTATGTTTAAAAATTGTATGCAAGTATAAAAATATAAAAACTCTACAAAAATTCTTTGTACAAATATTGCTTGTCTTGAGAAAACGGACGTACTGGTAAACAACATGTCAAAACGAATGAAACTCAGCCAGCGTGAATGGCAGGCAACTGAAACGTGTGTAATATGATGCTGATCATATTCATCTTAAAATTTTCCCTTAGTTAATTAGTCATCAAGAAAAATTAATCAAGCAGTTTAGTATAAATATTATGGAACTCTCCTATCATTCTGATAATTACACCGGGGCGGGAATTTTTCAAGGATCGCAAGATAGATTCTAGATATTTTGTCAGAATGTGCACCTTAATAATAATAATAATAATAATAAAATAAGAATAATATTAGGCAAGCCTTAATAAAATCCCCAAAATGGAAATCCCCAGGAAATGACAAGATACCCAACTTTTGGCTCTATTATCTGTCATTAATCCATAAAACTCTTACGCAAACTTTATCAATACTAATTAATAACCCCAATGAAATTCTAGAATGGATCACTGAAGGTATTACATATCTCCTACCAAAAAACGGATGAAACAGATGATTAAAAAAATTATAGCTCAATAAGGTGCTTGTTCATCACATATAAATTGATCACTATTGTCCTGACGAACTGTGCTTACTCTTTTCTCGATGAAAATAACATGTAACAGAAAGGATGTCGAAGAGGTTCATATGGTTGCAAAGTTCAACTACTAGTAGATAAAATAGATAAACTACTAATAAAAATAGATACTGGAAAAATGCGGGAAAATAGTAGAAATCTAAGCACAGCTTGTATAGGTTACCCTAAAGCCTTTGATAGTGTGCCACACTTTTGGATCCATAAGGCTTTGGAATTGTACAAAGCCTCTTCGGTGATAGTAAATTTTCTTAAATATAGCATGGAACTGTGGAAAACCACATTATATCTAAATCACACAAAAGCTAGTCACTTCTAATTGCTTGAATATCCGACGAAGGATCACTGTCTCCCATTCTCTTCTGTTTGTCCTTAATCCCCCTTTTGCGTGAACTAAGCAATAACAACTATGGATACAAGGTAAAAATCACCTATACTACATCAACGATATCAAACTCTTTGCAAAAAGAAGACAATGAGTGGAATGGTATCCTCAGTATTATAAAATGTTTCAGTGATGACATTGGTATAGATTTCGGATTAGATAAATGTGCAAAAGAAACATTTAAGAAAGGGAGAATTACAGAAATATATTCAATACAACATAAAGATTAGGGAACTGGAACAAGAAGAGGCCTATAAATACCTAGGAGTCAACGAAGGAGATGGAATAAAGCATACCCAAATGATGCAGTAAGAAAAGAATACTCCAGGCGTATGCATCGGATGTTAAATACAAAGTTAAAATACCAAAGCAGAATATCAGCCATAGACACTTTGGCTGTCCCTTTAGTGCAATACAGTTTTAACATCCTTAATTGGATTATAACTGACATCAAGCGAATGGATGTCAAAACGAAAAAGCTTCTCACTTGCCACCACATGCAACATCCTAAGGCTGATGTTGATCGTCTCTATGTGTCCAGATCCGAAGGAGGTAGAGGATTAGTTTAACTAGAACTGGTTTACAAAACCACAACAATCTGTCTTCAAAGGTACCAAGAAACTACAGAAGACTAGATGATGATCGGTGTTAAAGAACATGAAAGAAATAAGAAGTTTTATTCAGTTATAAAGGAAGCCAATAAATTCAAAAGTGAATTTCAAGTAGATGAAGAAATGCAAATAAACTATAATACACCAACTGCAGCGGCAAAGAACCTAAAAAAAGAAAGCAAAATCAAATACAATGTACCAAATGTAAAAGCGATGGCAAGATACGCTTCTTCATAGTCAATACCAAATAAGCTGATGTAGACAAATCAATGGTTATTTAGTAAGTGCAGAGTTAAAAGCTGAAACCAAAGGTTTTTTTTTTGCTGCACAGGACCAATGCTTGCTAACTAAAAATTACCAAGCACATATACTGAAAGATTACGTTAAACCGAAATGCAGATTCTGTGATAAATATCCAGAAACAATTGACCATCTTGTATCAGGATAAACAGAATATAAAAACTCGGCCAATATCCGCACTGGAAAATATGCATTTTCTATGGAAAGGAAACTGGTATGAACCCGGTTACAGAAATCGGACCTGGGGCAATTTTATGAGACTTTACAATACATACAGGCAAAACAAAGCTCATCGCTCAGACATCGCGATCAAAGACCACAAAAACAGAATGTGCTTTTTTATTGACATGGCAATCCTTGCAGATTGTAATGTATCTTCGAAGATCTTCAAAAAACTATCAAAATACAAGGATGTTGAAGTTGAAATCTCAAAAACGTGGCACACGAGGACATTAATAATCCCAGTTGTAGTTGGAGCACTCGGATTGATTGGAAAAGATCATTGAAGGGATTCTGTTCATTTGTACTCACAAGTACAGCTCACACATTACAAAGTGCTTTAATGATGTAAAATGTCTGTGATCTTAGTTTTTTTGTACAAAAATGATAAGAGGAAACTTATCATGAAGCCATTTCTGATCTTAGGTCTCTAGTTGGGACTCGGAAGGAAATGTGAATACAACAGAAATCAAAGGAAATAATAATAATAATAATAATAATACTTCCTGGGATTAATGGAATAATCATTAATTACATACATTACATTCGGACTATTTTCTACATCTTTGTTGTTATTATCATAACGTTTCGGCCGTTGTCCATTCCGGTCTTCATCAGGGATATATCGATCAGGGTAACCTACAAGGAATTCCGAACTAAACCCTTTATTTAATCTACTTGGTAGACTGTTCTCGTTCAACTGCTCATATCTAGTTACTGCTCGCCCTGATTCCACTAAGTACATATTGATTGATATACACCTGATGAAGGTTGGCCGGCACAACGGCCGAAACGTTGTGATAACAATACCAAAGATGAGTTCAATAGTCCGTATATAATTAATGTAAATATTTCTTCATGGTAAATGTTGTCATTTTGCTATCTCTCCCGAACCTTGTACTACTAAGTTCATTGTTTAAGTTATGCACTGTTTTCCATTGTCCCTCTTTGTTATACCTGACGTACCTATTCTATTATTAATAGACTCTCCCACACATAATAAGTAGTAGTAGTAGTAGCGGTCGCCAGTTGGGCTCAGTGGTGTTGAGCGAGTCAGTCATATCGGACATTGAAGTACCAACCATCACAACTAGATTGCTGCGTCATTAACTCTTATTTCCAAGTTCCTAACGTTTTGTACGTCGAACCTAATTTAGGACAACTTATTGAAATACAAGCCTCCACTGTGAAAACTACTCTACAACACTCTTGCCTTCAATATGTCTTGGGAGTGTCAATTTTTAAAGCCCTCTTTCCACATTGTGTCACATAAATTTCAACTTCCTTTCTAATGTAAAATATGTGTCCTTTTTGCTGCCATTTTTTCTAAAACTTCGACGTTTCTCACATGTTCATGGTATCCTCAGCATCGTTCTGTAGAGCCATTTTTGTTGTGTTAAGTCTCTTCTTCCTTTGCGAGGAGATTATCCAGCATTCACTGCCATATAGGAGGACCTATATTACATAATTCTGTACTTTTTATTTCTAACAAAATTTTCCTGTTTCTTATTACATTTTTATTCTTGTGTTCTTACAAGTTTTCTTTTATGATGGCTTCTTTTTCTATGTGCCGTGTCCCTTCAGGACGTTGGCAATCATGATTCCTCTCAATTTCCTATCCTTTGTAGCTTAGCTCTTGATAATTTTTTTTTTGTTATCCCAATGTTTCATCCGTTGTATCCTCAGACCTTTTTCAGGTGTCTGTTAATCGAGGCAAACTTCAAGGAATTTAAAAGTGAACATTTTAATGCATCCTCTATCTATGGTTTAAATAGTAGTAATCTCAAGCTTTGAGTAGCAGTCGGTTCCAAGCCAAGGGAGACCACTCCAGTATTTTTCCTAAGTAGCCACGGTAATTCACAAATAATAAAGAAAATGCACCTGTGGGGAACCATGATCTCCTACGTCCACAAATGACATGTCATTAAAATACATACGCATAGGTGTGTGTATGTGTTAAGATTATATGATATAGCTTTTGACGATTGCCAACTAATATTCGTGCAGTTGAAAGTATACCAAAATACAGTAAAATTTTGTGCAACCATAATGACTGTGGCTTCCTACCCATAAAAAAACGATAACTGATTATTTTATGGTCGTTGTCTCAAATAGTGATTAACTATTTAAAGATGTTTATTTTCGTTATTTGAATATCGTTGCCCTTGGGTCCTGTAAAGATATTATAGTCAACTAAACTCTTTATGTGAAAACCTTTTACATCGACTCTTGTCCGTTGTCTCGACTCGGAAATGAATTTCCAAGTCTTCACGAGAATCGGATACAATGTTTCGCCCCACAAAACACGGAAACTAACCTTCCGTTTCTTTCCTTCTTTCTTTCCTTCACTTAATTTCATCCACTCTTTCTTTTTGTTTTCTTTTTGTTCCGACATGTTTTTTTTTTCTTGTTTTCCATTCTCTTTTTCTTCCTTTCCTTCAATTCGATTTCTCTACCCTTTCTTCTTTTTTCGCCTTTCTTTTTCTTTTCTATACTCTTTTTCTCCTCTCTTTCTTTTTTCCACTGTTTTTCTGAAGTCTTCCTTTTTTCAAATACCCCCTCTTTATTCTTTATCTTTTTTTCCACCATTTTTCTTTTTCTCAATTTTTTCTTTTCTTTTTCTCAACTCTTGCGTTTTCCTTCCTTTCACTTTTCTTTCTAGTTTTCTTTTCTTCCACTCTTCCTTTTTCTTTCATTCATTATTTTCTTTTTTTCCACTTTCTCTTTTAACTCTTTCTTTCCCTATTCTTCTCACTTTCTTTTCTTCTTCTTCTCTACTCTTTGTTTTTTTCCTTTACTTCACTTTTTCGCCGTTCCATATAGTTTTCTTTTCTTCACTCCTTTCCTTTGTTTTCCACTTCTTTTCTCCACTATTTCTTTTCGCCTTTAATTTCCAATCTTTTCTCTCTACCTTCCTTTCTCTTATTCTTACTTTTCTTCTTCTTTCATCCCTATCTTGCTTTCGTATCTTCTACTCTACCTTTGTATATGATATGTCCCGGAAAGGGATATATTTGTTCGAAGTAGAAAAGTGGTTGTTGACTACTGTAACCGGGTAGGACAATCTAGCAGGTAACCTTAATGGACTGGTCCTCGTCGTAGTGGTAGTCAATAGGCGTCGTTCCTGTACCTCTACATCAGTCTGTATTTATGGCTGATACCAGCCAATCATATTACTGTGAGGGTGAACCCAGGTATATACATATTCATTACATCAGTAACTATTTACTTTTCTATTTCACACAGCTTTTATTTTCTCTCTCTCTCTCTTTATTTTCTTGATTCTTTTCTATTTTACTCACTTTTCAGCACAATTTATTGTACATTATATCGCTAGATTCTTTTTACTAAAGTGTCTTGTAATTCACTTTTCTCATTATAGAAAGTATAAGAATTTGGGTTTTGTTATTAGATGTTTAAGTTTTTAATTTTATCGTTTCCCACTAAAGCTATGTCTAGAAATTTAGGAAATTTTCATTTTCATTCTTCCGTAGACATTAAAATTGTCATCATGTGGCTAGTAAAAACTAACAGTTTTACAAATATAAAAATATTTTTCTGGTTGTATATATATTATACAAAAAGGGTGACCATCACTATTCTGGCATTTATAATAATCCGGCGTTAATTTCCACGCGAGTAATTTCAGATTTCTCGAGTTGTTACACGGACCAGCCATTACTTTTGGTGGTGCTAGCTGTTGCATCACCTTACAAACACTGCTAAGGAATTTCTACGTGTCAATTGTATATTTTTATTATAATCTACTGTTGTTTAACTTCAGCCATGACTCGAACGCATATGGGAAGTGCTTCTCATGGTGTGAAATGCAGACACCACGCCTTGTCTATAAGGAGAACTTCAGAAAATAATTTGACAGCGCCGTGTGATTTATACAGCATTGAAAAGTCAACATTTTAAGACATAAGCAAACAAAGATAAAAACTGGTTAATTAACAGTAATCCAACAAAGGTATAAAGCAGTAAAGGGCTCAGTTGTGCCTGATTACCGATGGTTAAGCTGTATTGTACACATACCGGCTCTGTTCAAAAAGTATCCAGCCATTTTGAATATCCCAACTGTCTACTCCTCTACTCCCCGACACGACTCTTCTACATTCTAGATACTATTCCTTACTACTTTTCCGAATGGCTAAAATTGCCAGTGAAACGCCGTGGGCAAGATTAAGGTGAACGTGATGAGGCTGCTGATGGTGATCCCGGAAAAGGACGATTTTGAAAAAATTAAGTTACGCTGGGATAAGTGTGTGAAGCACAAAGCAGAATGTTTTGAAGGGAACTAAAACACCATGACAAAAACCTGAGCTAAAGATGGAGGTAGACAAGTAACAACAGATAGATAGAACCACCAAAACTGACAGGGATTAGGAAATTGTAATAAGCTGTATACGGCGGTTGTTAATATGATTTGGTTCCAATACTACTGAATGGTAATCACATTGTAAGTGTGAAACAACTGAAAAAAGTAAATCCAATTTTTCTTACCCCATCGTTTGGGTTTAGACAAAAAAGAGAAATAGTAGAAAATAGTTAATGGTATTCGAGTTCATTCCAAAAAATAGCTCCATTGCCCTAGGTAGGCTAATTATTTCGTTAACATTAAATATTTTTATTATTTATGGACAAACCTCGGAGACATAAACAGATCCTGAAGCAAGTAATCAATTTATGGCTGTGAGAACCCGATTTCCACGTGTTTTCTGTGTCACTTAGTTAAAGGCAACTCAGATATCTCCAATCAATTATTAATGGCTAAATTATTGCGATTAAACACAATGACAAAGTTTAATCAATGCGATGTTCAGTGGCAAACGGATCGCGGTATTTGTTTAAAGAATGGAAAAAATGTGATTTATTTGCGACTTCTCGACAACGAATACGTTAAACTGATGTTAGTAAAAGCGTCAAAGAGAAAAGAAATATAAATCATTTTATTTTTATATACAATTTTATCTCTGAGGTTGCCTGTGTCATTATTGGGATAGCTTGTAACAATTACATTTTTCCTCGTAGAGTGCGGATTTCGTCAGTCTCTATCCCTGTGTGTGTGTGTGTGTGTGTGTGTGTGTGTGTGCGTGCGTGCGTGTGTGTGCAAAATGAGCAGCCCAAAATTTCTTTATTTCTATTTTTATATGTAAGGAACTTTTCTCTCTTTCTTTTGCATTCTCTGTCACTTTTTTCTTTCTCTCTTCTCCCCCCCTCTCTCTCTATATATATATATATATTTCGTAAAAATACAAAATTGTGGCATATATATATATGGCTTTCATAAGTTGTATATATATATATATATATATATATATATATATATATATATATATATATATATATATATATATATTACAACTTATGAAAGCCAAAAATACTCAAAAGATATTGAATAATTTTTGTTCAAATTATGCTTGGAAACGAGAAAAATGTTCTCAACCGCAGAAAAATTAACCCAATAATATTAAATAATTTTTAATACTTTTTCAACAAAACCCACATTATATATATATATATATATATATATATATATATAAAATGTGTGTGTGTTTAGGCAGAAAATGTTCTTTAAGGCAAATACTATTAAAAACGACATGTTGTGTCGATTAATTTTATTGATCGACTTTTCCGAGTTACCAATAATTCTTCTCTCTAAAGGAGGAATTTTTTGAAGAGTTGCACTTGAGGGAAATGGTCTGCAACATTAATTTTCTATTCATTAACCCTATAACAGACACGCTGCATATAGTAATTATTTAGTATGCTTGGCTTTGTACGTCAAATGAACAAACGTGAGACCCGAATTCAGCACAAAATCTGCTTCTCTACAGCGAGGTGCCCCAAGTCATACAATAAACACAACTGTGAAGATATGGCGCTCTAGTGTACTAGTGTACTAATAGTTGACAAAATAGTCGATATTTGGCTTTGAAAATATTTCGTTTTCTTTTCTATGCAAAAAAAAATTGATTTGTACTGAATTACGATATTTGTTAACGTTTATATAATTTACCGATTTTTGTTTTGCCTTGCTGAATGTGGGTCTCGCTACTCTAGGCCTCGCTGACTTTAGGCTTCGCTGAATGTAGGCCTCGCTGACTCTGGTCAGTAAATTTTGTCATAGTTTTGCTGTATTTTCGTTAATAACATTTTAACTACTAGCAGAATACTCGTCCTACGGACAGAGGACGTCTATTTTCTAAAGTTCTTTTTTATCATTTTAATAATTGAATTTCCTACTCTGGACATCGCTACATAAAGCTGACCCCGAGAGAAACATTTGAACAACTTTATATTAGTTTTTATTATTATTATTATTATTATTATTATTATTATTATTTCCTTTTGTCTCTGGTGCATACGCATTTCTTTCCGGGTCCCAACCAGAGATCTAAGGTAAGAAATAGGATCATGACATTTTCCCCTGAACAGTTTTGAAAAAAAATCACACATATTTTACATAGATAAAGCCCTTCGTAAGGTGTGGGCTGTACCTGTGAGTACTGATTTTTTTTTTTGTATTTCTTTAAGGGATGGGTTACCAGGAATCCTGTCAATGAGTTTATTGGAATCTTTTCCAATCACTCCGAGGGCTCCAACTACAACTGGAATTGTTAATGTCCTCATGCGCCAAATTTTTGAGATTTTGCCGTCTGCAGGGACTATCATGTTAGTAAGGAGGCACATTTTGTCTTTGAGGTCTCTAAGTACGATGTCAGGGCGATTAGCTTTGATTATTCTGTCTATGTGTATTATAAAGTCCCATAAAATTTTCACAGATCCTGTCTCCGTAACCGGGTCTGCAATTTCTTGTAGCTTCCTTTTCGTAAGTGCTGCAGATTTTCTAGTGCAGATATTGGCCCACTCTGTCGTGTTGTGTTTTATATTCAGTGGGTACCAATCCCGCGCAACCTGATACAAGATGGTCAATTGTTTCTGGATATTTATCACAGAATTTTGGACTAACACAATTTTTCATCAGCTTGTTTGATACGGGCAGATTATTGACAATGAAGCGGTTTATCTTGCCATCGTTTCTGCATCTGGTCGGTTGCCTTTGCCTTTGCTTTCTTTTTTAAAGTATTTTGAAGTTCCAGTCGGTGTATTTTGCTTCACCCACTTGAAATTCCATTTTGAACTTGTTGGCTTCCTTTATAACTGAATAAAGTCGTTTACTGCTTTCATGCTCTTTCACACAGATCATCATGCAGTTTTCTGTAGTTTCTAGGTATCTTTGAAAGCTAATTATAGGTTCTTGTTGAACTAATCCTTTGCCTCTTTCGGATCTGGGCATATACAAAAAGATCAACATCAATCTTGGGATGATTCATGAGGTGGCAGATAAGAACTTTTCTCGTTTTGGCGTCCATTCGCTTAATGTCAGCTATGGTCCAGTTAAGGATGTTGAAATTATATTGCACCACAGGGACCGCCAAAGTGTTTATGGCTGATATTCTGTTTTTTGAATTCAGCTCGGCATTCAGTACCAGACGCACATGCCTGCAGTACTCATTTCTTATCTTCTCCTTCATTTGTGTATTCTGTATTTCATCTCCCTCGCTAATTCCTAGGTGCTTATAGGCTTTTCCTTGTTCCAGTTCCCTAATTTTTGTGACAAAATCTAGATCTTTTGAGTGTATTTCTGTAATTCTCTCTTACTTGAGTGTTACTTTAACACATTTATCTAATCCGGAATTAATACTTATGTCGTCACTGAAACATTTTACAGTATTGAGGAGACCCTACAACTCAATATCGTCTTTGACAAATAGTTTGAGATCATCCATGTAGGTGATTGAGTACTATTTGTTTAGTTTGTAACCAGAGCTATTATTGTTTAGTTCATGTGTTAGGGGGTTTAAGGATATACAAAACAAAGGGGTAACAGGGAGTCTCCTTGAAAGATTCCTCGTTGGATATTCAGTCGGTTGAAGATGGTAGTGCCTCTCACGTGATTTAGGTATAATATGGTTTTATACATTCTCATGCTGTGTTTAAATAAATTTACTATCAGGAGAGAGACTTTGTACATTTCGAAAGTCTTAAGTATTCAAGAGTGTGGTACACTATCAACGGTTTTACGGTAATCTATCCATGCTGTTCTAAGATTTCTGCATCATTTCATGCAATTTTCCAGGATCATTTTGTTTATCAGTAGTTGATCATTGAAACCATATGAACCTCTCCGGCATCCCTTCTGTTCCAGTGGAAGAATGTTGTTTGTTTCGAGAAAAGAGTAAGTACGGTTTGTCAGGACAGACGTGATCAACGTG